AGGATGGAGGAATAGAGCACCAGTGGCGGATCCCAATCACCATTATGGGGGAGGGGGAAATAAAATGTTTTTAAAATTCTCATTTTCAGGGAGGGGGATTGAAAAGTTTTCAAATGTCATCCTTTTTTTTCTGTTCTGGCCATGTCGAGCGGCGGCGGATGTCTGTGTACCTAACGCGGTTTATGGACACCCGTCTGCCAGCCAGGAGAGGGACAAACAAAGTTCGTACACGCCTAGGCGTGGGGTGGGTGGAGGCTGTATGTTGTTTGACGACTCTCAGAGAGAGGGCGCCACACAACATAGCCTTATGTTGTACCGCCACCATTGCTTCGTCTGGCTACCGGATTCGAACCCACAACCATTAGGTTGGCAGGCCGAGCCCGATACTAGGACGACACAACGGCGATTTGATTTTGTCATCCTTTCATTGCTCAAAAGCCCAAAAGCCGGTAAAAATTTTTTCATTCGAAAGATTTTCCCTTCCCCTGGATCCGCCACTAGAGGGGAATGTAATTCTCTGAGTATTCCTGCAACTGTATAGAAACTTTTGACTTTATGATTTGTCGAGTCATAGTTGCCTGATTCTATAATCTGCAATACAAAATGTTAACAGAAGAGAGGGTTTAAAAATTGATGTCACTCACACCAATTTATCTCAACTCACAACTGATGTAAGTCCAAATAATATGTATAGTGAGTGGACAAGTACAGGGAAGGAGTAGGAACAGAATGCAAAAAAAATGTATCTCAATAACTCAATTAGAACAGAAGTTACAGCAAGTAGACTACTTCAAAATACCTATGTAGTTTTCTCAAAACGCACTTTTTGAACTTGAGCCTTGTTTTTATATCCAAGAGCTAAATTCGCAATATTCTTCTCCAGACCGTGAGACTCGTTTCAAACGAAAACACTTCAAGTTGACCTTGATTCGTGGCGCAAAAATAGCATAAAATAAAAACATCGGCGTCCTCCACGACGAACGGTTCAACCAGTGTGTCAGTGAGGTGAGACAAAAGCCATCCATCACGTTGAAATACTTTCTGACACCCATGAACGACAATTTGACATCTGTCCTCTTTCAGTAGGAAAACATCGATGAACTCTTGAGTAATTCCACGTTACAAAATAGCACTCGTAAATGATTGAAATACTACTTACGCATCATTTACAGTTTATCCGTCACAGAATATAGCCATAAGCCAGAAAGACTCATTTTCTTTTTAGTTTCCTACTATACTCGAACTACAGCCGAATGTTCACACATCAAGTCACACACATTTCTCTTTCTCCAAACCCGATAAATCGTTCATCCTCTTCGTTTTCTCGAGCATGAGGAAGCCTACCAACTATACAAGGTGATTCACGAACAGACATGCTAGAAAATTGAAATGCTAAATGAGTGCCTCTATGCATAGATAGTTGTTGGGTCCTAGACAAATTAGAGCAGTGAAAAAAAATTTCAACAAACTGAATTTTACTGAAAAAGATTTACAGAAAATTCATCAGTGAAAGCATGTAACAGTCAATTTCTTTTCGGATTGGCCAATTTAAAAAATAAATGGAAGAGTAGAGGGTGAGGGAAAATTGAAACCAAGTACGAAGATATGATAACGGACTGAAATATCGACAATTTTCAGGTGAAAAAAGGTAATGATTCTGTTTCTCGTCGAGTATTTTTTACAAAACCTGAAAGAAAAATAGTGAGAGAGCCTATTTCAATTTCAAAATGTGCAGCTGACATCTTTCTTGATACTGAATTCGAATAAAATGCTTCTTGTACTGAAAAACTTGACTGCCTTTTTTTGGCAGGTTTTACTTAGGAAAACCAGTTTATAATGGACATAATATTACAAAATTGAGAAATATAGCTCTTGCTAAAGATAGGTTAGGCAACCTACTGGATTTCGGAGCAAGAAAGGTTGCATTTACAACTACGCCCAAGCAAAATTTCATTTCATTTCTTCAAATTTAGTAATAATGCTTACGAAGAAACAATTTTTACACTTTTTCAGCTGCATTTGTCAATATTTCAACTCCTAATCATACAGTCTTCTTGTTCTTGGTCTTAATTCTCTCTTCAGACTCCACTTTCAATTATATTTTTTGGCCAATTTCAAAGAAAATTGACAAAGTGATATGCATTAACACAATTGGGACATCCAAAATGACGTAACGATCTCGCTGGAAGACAATTTGTGAAATATGATTGGTGGAAGTGATAATATAATAACCAGTGATTGGTTTATGTGAAGTTGTCTTCCAACGAGAATCACTGCTGTGACGTAATTTTGATGTCCCAATAAGTACCAGGTGGTGTCATTTATGACACCAAGGGAAGAATGAAAGTGACACGCTTCAAAAGACCAGCTGGTGTCAGAAATGACACAGTTTTCAATGCTCACCAAAATAGAATTTTTTAGGCAAAAATGATCTCAAAGTGATTCCTTCACCGTGCCTTTATTGAAGGAATTCATGTACGAGTAGATGTTCTCAGATATTAATAGCCATACTTGATCCCAATATTCTGTGAAGAAACACTTAAAATTATAGAAAATAGGTTGGCGAAATCATGAATGACACCACCTCGGCTTTTGAGGAATGAAATAACACCTAGAAGTTCCAAATTAATTGGTGATTTTGTGAAAAAATTGCACTAAAATGAATTTTTTTTCAATATTTCATTCTCAGACCTAATTTGCCTAAAACCCAACAACTATATAGATATTGACCTACAGGCACTGATCCACCTCTTTGATTTTTTTGTATATCCGCTCGTGAATCACCCTGTATATCCAACCATACCATTTAATTCTGCGTTCCGCTTCGATGAAAATTATCGCCCATATTTGGGGCTCAATTATGACGCAGCATGTATTGCGCACCGAAGAAGGAATACAAAACAGAGAAAAAAAGAAACATAAGAGGGAAAATAAATAAATAACACATTTTTCCGGATCCGACCGACAAAAGTCTAACACCGAAAGCACTGTAGCTTACAGGCAATTCACAATATCAATAATGTACAACTACAAACGAGAAGAAAATGTCTTCTCTCGACGAGGTGTGTCCTACCAAAAGTAGGTGCTGCTCACGCACAAAAATCCATGATATCGAACGTATTCTCGATTTTGCAGCGTAGATTGCAAAAATCGATCGCCCAACGGACCGTGCGGACACTCCAACGTACGAAAGATGCCTTCCAGCGACGTCACAAGTCGAGGAATTTCTTACGACCTTCCACAGCGCCCCCTCACTTCCGCTGGATAGGATTGGTCTTTTCGGATCGTACGGTGCTTTGGTTCGTCTCCCACATGTCTACGATCCATTCATTTAACCAACAGGTGATCAACGGGTGAAAGGTGGAAAATGCGTAGCATAGAAAAATAGCTGCTGGTAACTGAAAACGTTCACAAACTGAAGGGTCTTGCTGCCAATCCACCAAGAGAAAAAATTTTGGGATTGAACAAAAACAGAGTCACAAAATGAGTCAACGGTGGTCCTACTCTGTTGAACGATGTATGACCCAATTTTCCTTTTAGAATTGACCAAACGCACATAGAGGCTCTTATCTAAAAGGCTGAGACAAATTCTCATTTATTGCATTTTGCCACAAAACTCTTCAATTGCAAGCTAAAAGCTAAAAGAAAAGAGAAAAGATTGTCACCAAAATCACTAGTTTGACCCAGTCGTTTACTCTGCGGTAAACACAGACAGCAGAGCTGTGGTAGCGAACGAATTAGCTACCGCTACTTGCTACCGGCTACTAACTTTTTAAAGCTACCAATTTCTGGCAATTTCTGGCTACCGGCTTCCAACTTCTAGCCACCAGCTTCTTTCGCTTATTTTCACTGCACCAAACTTTATTCAGCAGTAAATAACAATTTTTTGAAATGTGAATTTTCGTGCTTTTTTGACAAATTGAGTTTGAATTGAGTTCAATTTCATCATTTCTATCTAACAAGTTACACTACTTGACACAAAATTATGATCACTGACAAAATTTTTCAATTCATCAGAAAAATGATAAAAGACAATTAGAAGCCAAAAAACATTTGGCTACCTCTACCGGCTTCCAGTTCCAAAGCACGTTTGGCTACCGATTCCTGCTACCAATTTGGCTGACTGTCCATCTGATTCTTATGGGTACTGCTTAGGAGCACGGTACTCATAGGGTCTGTACCAGTTAGTTCCGGAGTCAGGAGGGACCAGTGGTCCTTAAATCAGGGATTAGGTTGGTCCTCAAGCCAGGGACCAGGAGTGTTAACCCAAATTATTTTTGTTTCAGTTATCGGTTATGTTCCAGTTATGAGCTGAAATTGTATTTTATATCAGTTAGGGTTTTGCTCTACCCATTTGTATGGTGCATAATCAATAGAGTAAAATGAATATTTACATATATTTTGATCTTCATCAGTTAGAGTAAATGGCATTTAAAATTAATTCGGGTTACGGTGACGGGTTAGGGTCAAGACTCCAGCCAGGAACCAGTTGGTTCCGGAGTCAGGAGGGACCAGTTGGTCCTCGAGTCAGGAACCAGTTGTTGGTCCCGGAGTCAGACTCAGAATTGAGACAAATTCGCACTGTCAGGATCCATTTCCTGATCCAGATACAATAGACACTCTGATTTGAAATTTGCATATTCTGAATCCATCTAATGCACTTTATGGAAACCGGATGGCCCAATACAAACACAATTCAGACCAGGCCCGTAGCCAGGGAGGGGGCTGAGGGGGCAATGCCCCCCAAGCAAAGTCGTTTCCCCCCCCCCCCCC